TTCCAAGTGGATCAAAGACCTCAACATAAAACCAGACACATTAAATCAGCTAGAAAAAAAGTGGGGAATACCCTAGAACTCATTGGTACAGGAGACAACTTCCTGAACAGAACACCAACAGCACAGGCTCAAAGAGCAACAATCAATAAATGGGACCTCATGAAACTGAAAAGCTTCTGTAAAGCAAAGGACACCATCATCAAAACAAAGCAACTGCCTACAGATTGGGAAAGAATCATCACCAACCCTTTATCTGACAGAGGACTCATATCCAGTATATATAAAGAACTAAAGAAGCTGAAAAGCAGCAAACCAAGTAATCCACTTAAAAAATGGGGAACAGAGCTAAACAGAGAATTCTCTGTAGAGGAATATCGAATGGCAGAGAAGCACTTAAAGAAATGCTCAACCTTATTAGCCATTAGGGAAATGCAAATCAAAACAACCCTGAGATTTCACCTTACACCCATGAGAATGGCCAAGATAAAAAACTCAAGTGACAACTGTGGACTTTTATACATTGTTGAGACTGTGATAGACTGTGAAGTCACCTGAATTTGCACTAAGTGCATTTTACATGACTTTATGGTGATAAGCCTCTAACAGCCAAGGAGTATGGTAGTTTGAACAGGTATGGCCCCCATAGATTCATGTGTTTGAATGCTGGGTCCATGGAGAGTAGTACTATTAGGAGGTGTGGCCTTGCTGGAGAAAGTGTGGCCTTGTTGGAGGAAGTGTCACCTTGGGGGTGGGCTTTGAGGTCTCCTATGCTCAAGGGCTGGCCTGGGTCTCCTTCTGCCCCAGAGCATCAAGACACCATTGTGCACCAGGCTCGACTGGAAGGAATGAAGCTTAGTCTGGTGGGACTAACAGGACCTTGGTTGGCTGTGTGGGGAGAACTAGCCTTCTCAGAGATGGTTTTCAGTGAAACAGCTCTCTGTTATTGAAGGGAATAAGGAATATATAAACCTTGGGTAGGGTGGTGGCTAGGGGTTTTTGGTGTGAGTGTAGATTATTGGCTGGGGCCAAAGTGCTAGAAATGCTTCATTTACATGAAGAGGAATTCTAGGTGCTAGCTGGACATGTCCTCATAAGGAAACAAGATATTTTAACCTGAAATTTGGCCACAATTTTATGCGACTACCTTAGTGGTGGCAGAGGTGGGGGTCAAAATGGCTATGTGCATCAGGGCAAGCAGTCCCAAGAAAAGATGGAGCAGTCCTTACTCCTGCCAGTCTCAAGATGAGAATTTCCAGGTTTGGACATGTCTCAACCTCACTTTGATCCAGACTGGCTCCCTGTCACAAGCCTTACCTACTCCAAACTCAGGCTTTGCTTGTTGTGGAATCCAATCCTCTTGCTGCTGATTAAGTTGTAGAGCTCTCAGCACCATGTCTGCCTCGATGCTGCCATGCTTTCCACCATGATGATAATGGAAACTATAAGTAAATCCCAATTAAATGTTTTGCTTTATAAGAGTTGCGAGTTGCTTTGGTCATGGAGTCTCTTCACAGCAATGGAAACCCTAATTAAGACAGTCTGTTTCCTTCATTTTGTTCTAGAGCTTTCAGATATGCTGTTAAGTTGTTTGCATGAGATGTCTCCAATTTATTTGTGAAGGCACTTAGTGCTCTAAACTTTCCACTTAGCACTGCTTTCATTTAGTCCCATAAGTTTGGGTATGTTGTGCAGTGACTTTCATTGATTTTTAGAAAGTCTTCATTTTCTTTATCTTTGTCTTGACAGCAAAGTCGTTCAGTAGGAAGTGGTTCAGTTCCATGAGTCTGCAGGCTTTCTATTGTTTCTGATGTTATTCATATCCAGCTGTAAACCATTGTATCTGATAAGATACAGGGGATTATTTCAGTTTTCTTCTATCTATTGAGAACTGCTTCATGACTGAGCATGTGGACAATTCTTGAGAATGTTCTGTGAGATGTTGAGAAGACATCTCAACATGTATGTTCTTTTATGTTTGGATGAAATATTCTGTAGATATCTGTTAGGTCCATTTGAGTCATAATGTGTGTTAGCGCTGTTATTTTTCTGTTTGGTTTTTGTCTGGATGATCTGTTCACTGGTGAGAGTGGGGCATTGAAGTCTCCCACTATTAATGTGTGAGATTTGATGTGTAATTTCAGCTTTAGCAATGTTTCTTTTACAAACACGTTAAGAATTGAAGTGTGTCTTTGATGGATTTTTTTTTCAATGGATATGAAATGTCCTTCCCCATTTCTTTTGATTAATTTTGGCTTGAAATCTACTTTGGTAGATGTCAGAATAACTACACCAGGTTGCTTCTTGGGTCCATTTTCTTGGAAATCTTTTCCCAACCCTTTACTTTGAGTTAGTGTCTGTCTTTGATGCTGAGGTATGTTTTTTGTATGCAGCGGAAGGATGGATCCTATGTGAGTATGCACTCTATTAGCCTCTGTCTTTTTGTTAGAGAATTGAGTCCATTAATATTGAGAGACAGTAATGTCCAATGATTGTTAATTCCTGTTATTTTGTTGTTGTTTTTGTTGGTGAGTGTTGGGGCAGGGAGATGAGTCTTACCTGGTGGCTCCTGATGTCCCAAGCCTCTTTGAATGCAGGTATGGCTGTGACCCAGGAGAGATAGAGTGTGCAGGTGGAGGGTGCAGCTCACTGCTGCTGTGCTGGCCCAGGGTCTCCTGCAGGCAGGGGATGGCTTGTAGAGGGCTCACCTGTCTGTCCGAGGCCGCCTGGCTATTGGCCTCTAGGGATGGTGCTGCACTGTGGGTCAGTAATGGAGTGCACAGGGGACATGCTGTGGCTCTTCACTCTTAAGTTCGATGGGAGGACAGGGCAGGCTGGGAATTGTGGATGGAGAGGCCTCACTTTTTGGTTCCTGGAGGCTTCCAGCTTCCAGGAATACTTCTAGGAAGTATATGACCAATGATCATTAATTCTTGTAATTTTGTCGTTGTTGTTGTTGTTGGTAGTGGTGGTGGTGGTGGTAGTGGTGTGTGTGTGTGTGTGTGTGTGTGTGTGTGTTCCTGTTTTTATGGTTTTGTTGGAGTGAGAATATTTATTTCTTGTATTTTCGTGGATATATTTAATCTTCTTGGGTTGAAATTTTCCTTCTATTCCTTTCTGTAGGCTGTGTTTATGATAGAAAATTTTAATTTGATTTTGTTATGAAATATCTTGATTTTTACATCTACGTTGATTCAAAGTTTTGCTGGGTACAGTAGTCTAAGCTGGCATCCATGGTCTCTTAGAGTCTACAAGGCATCTGCCCAGGCCTTTTTGGCTTTCAGCATCTCTTTTGAGAAGTTAGATGTAAATCTAATAGATCTGTATTCATATGTTACTTGGCCTTTTCCCTTGAAGGTTTTAATATTTCTTCTTTGTTCTGTATGTTTAATATTTTGATTATTATTATTTCATTCAGAAGCTTTTATCTCAGAAGTTTCGTTTTTCTCTCAGTACCGTCTTTTCTGGCTCCATGAACTGGGCATATCATCCACCATCTCTTTTCTTAAGTTTTCAAAATTATATTTTAAGAAATATATAATTACATAAATTTTCCCTCTCTCTATTTCTTCCAACCCTCATATGTCCCTCTTTTGAGTTTAAATTCATGCCTCTTTTTAAATTTATGATTGTTACACATATGTTCAGATAAATATATAAACATAACCTGCAGTTTAGTGTTTAGCGTAGCCTATGTTTATGTGCTGTTAGAGTTCACAATTGCATACTGGATAACCAGTTACAGGGGTCTTCCCTGGGGAGACTAATTCCTCTCTCTCAGCAGTCATTAACTGCTTTAGCTCTTCAACCGGGCATAAGGCCCCATAAGATTGCCCTTAGCCAAGCTTGGATGTCAGCTGATGTTGTCTTTGTTCAGGGCATGCTTAAACAGCCATATTGCTGGTGTACCATGGTGTAGCTTCCATGTTATATCAATGTTCCTGTCTGCTAGGTGCAAGGAATTCACTCTTGTATCTTGGGTCTCTGTGGAAATATCTTTTCCCTGTCATTTCAGGGAGTGCACCCCTGATCTCACCTGACTCTTGAGATTGCTCATCCCCTTACATTCACTGCAATCTTATTGCCATTGTATTGGATAATTATTGCTTCAACATCAGTCTTCCTTCCTATAACTTACATTCAAATAGAAGAAATCGTGTTTCTTGTATAAACCCATTCATGGGATCATAGGAAACATCTTTAGAAGATGTTAAAATGGTGGGAAAAAATGAGATAAGGAAGAAGAAAAGATCAGGACCAGAGAATGCTGGTCTAGGGCATAAAATCTCATTTAAACATGAATACAGATAGGAAGTCAATTGTGCATTATGGGTAGCAAGTATGCATTTTTAAGCTTGGAAACTGATAAGGGCAGGAATGATAAATGATCAAGGTTATCCTCACTAAAAGGTACGTTTGTGTGTTGATCCATGTTGATAAGCTTGACCCACCCATTTCACAATGTACAACAGGGTTTCACTCTGAACACAGTGTGAACATTTTACATTTGTCTGTTGACACATTTGTATGTTGACACACACATACATATGTATATATACATATATACATACACACATATATACATATACATATATATATGATTTTATGGTTGATGCTCCTACATTCATAAAGTTTGAAGCAGGTGGGCTTTTAAAGCCCCAATAACAGATTGGCAAGAAGGCAGATTAAAAGTTGAGAATGTAGAGGTCCCTGGAATGAGCAGGGAGGCAGTGGGATCTACATCTGACATTTCAGACTGGGTTGTTCTGAAATTTCCATGTATGGATCTCCATCCAACATGTGCTCTGGTTTAGGGTCCTTATTGCCATGTGATGGGTATTCAAATGCACATAGTATGTGGGGATGTTATAATGCTGGAGTTTGATCCTGTCTGGAGAATTCTAAATGTGGTAGAAATATGAAATGGTGCACCACAGTTGCTTTTGTGTTATGGAAATATCCTCACTGTGTACAACTGAGATTTCTGCTCTACTCTCTCCTAGGATCTCTGCCCAGTCCCACTATCGATGCTGAGCCAGGTCTTAAGATACCCCGAGGGAGTTCTATAACCTTTATTTGCTCAAACCCTGATGGATATGATGTATTCCGCCTGGAGAAGAATGGACACAGCTTAATGGATAAGAAGAATATTCAGCCTCCTACAAGAGAAGCAAGATTTTGCTTTAGCCCAGTGAATGAGTCCATTGCTGGACATTTTAACTGTCTCTATACGAAAGGAAGCAGCTGGTCCCTACGCAGTAAGACCGTGGAGGTAAAGGTGATCAGTGAAGATGTCACCTTGAGTCCTGCCCCACGTCCATCAATGACCTCAGGTTTGTTCTCAATACTCTGGACTCTAATCATAGCTGTTATTTGCTGCCTCAACTTCCTCTGCTGTATCTTAACCCCAAGGCTCTTCCCCTCTATCTCCCTGAGCTCTAACACCACAGATTCCCTGGAGCTTTTAGTCTTACCAGACACCATGAATGATCTGGATACAGCTCCAGTCTTGGAGGGGTAGGTCACAGAGTTGTCCCTGATTACTGGGTAACAACTGAGCCCCAGTGCTGTGGGGATAGAGTCCTCTCAAGATGATGTATGTTTTTTGACTGGGCATGGTGAGTTATCCTGTCCTTCCACGAAGTCAGAACCTATGATAGCTGCAGGAATAAATCTCTAGTGTGGTCTCAAATTACTTGGCAGGTTATATGGTCCAGGGATGGCTGGTGAGCAGGCCTAGAATATTCTTCTGGGGGTACTTTCATATGAAATGGTCTATATGTGGTCAGACCATAGAACGTCTTGGAGTGAAGGACTAGGAAGAAGATCTATTCCACTTCCACATCCTACTAGGTTTACCAAAAAATTTTCAGTGCTGACTGTGAAGCCAAGCAGACCAAGTGAGGAAAAAACAGAAAGACCATCCCTCACCTTCTGCAGGAGGAATTGAAGAGGGTCTCTGTCAGGTTTCCTATTTTCCCTGTTCCGCCCTTTCAGGCATCTCTCATGATCTGGGGTTGAGTGACAGGCAAGGTTCCCATTTTGGATCAATACTTAGGATGGAGAAGAGGTTGACATAACTCCTCTTATAAGCTCTCAATCTTTCACCCTGTAGCTTTGCTGATGTACTAATTTATTAGGGGTTATATGTTTGGTTGATTTCAAAACCAGCCTTCTGCTTAGCTTTAGAACTAGGTATCAGAATGTTGTTCATACTATTTTTGTTGTTATTTTGTTTTGTTTGTGTGTGTGTGTTGGGGGGAAACAAGGTCAGTCTATGTAATCCTGGTTGCCCTAGAACTTGCTACATAGAGCAGGCTGGCATCGAACTCACAGAGAGCCTCCTGCATTTGCCTCCTGCGTTCTGGGATTAAAGGTATGTGCCAACACGCCCAGGGACTCCATTATATGAAGAAATTTGACATTTTGGCTGAAGATACCCAGTTCTGAAGACTCTGGGAAGAAGTTCCAGTGCCTGCGGGCTGCAATTTGTACGGCTGTAAACTCCTCGTGTGGTCTGAACTGCATGCACTATAGGTGTGGTCTGATGGTAGATTAGTGCCCACCTTGCCAGTCTGGGCTCCGAGAAATCTCAGGGGACCTTCTCAGTATCTGTGCCTAACAAGAGTGGAAGGATCCCTCAGAGGAACGTGACACGGGAAGGGTGTGGCATGTGAAAGGTAGTCAGTCTGGGGTGCTGTGTGACGCTGAGCCAGCTTTTCTCCTTCCGTGTGTCCTGCTTCTTAGGCACTGTGGCCACATCCCTCTCAGGAGGAGATGTGGTCCTGAGTCCTCCACGGTCTTTCTGATCCAGGCTGTGTTACTGTGAAGCTAAGCTCCTGGCTCAGGCATGTGGGATGGTGGACGGGGACACATGGTGTGGGATGATAGAGGGGAGCAAGATGCTGTTTCATGCAGAGCCAATATATTATTGATATAACAACATAATATATCTTTATACAGGAGTGCAATGTATGTTATTTTAAATAGTATCACATGCTGTTTAATATTTGCAATATATAACTTAACAGTTGTTATTTATTACTAGAAACCACATATAGGTAAACATCATTTACTGTAGATTTGTATAATTTATATTCTTGAAAGATATCACATAGCATTACATTATATAAGTTATTTATATATTCATTCATCTGAAAGAAGTTAGCATAGTTTTATTTTATATTTGCTTATTTACTTTTTTCTAGATATGTAGATCATGTACATAAATGAGTCTGTGTGTTCACATGTGTCAGCATGTATGTGGTTGCAGGTGTGGTGAACATGCATGCATGTACGTGTGTAGGTCCACAGTTGATGCTTAATGTGTTGTGGAAGTGTTCTCCACCTTGAGGAATGAGGTCTGACTGACCCCAGAGTTCACTGCTCCAACTAGTCTGGCTAGTCACTTTGCTCGGGGGATTCTCTGTCTCTTTCTCCTGTGCAACTGAGATTATAGGCAGGCCGTCATGTCCAGCTAATGTGGGTTCTGGATATCCAAACTGTGTGCTTCACTCATTGAGCCATGTCCACAGCCACTTAGCTGTGCTTATTTACATTAATATGAATGTATGGCCGTGAGTCACTCGTCCGTGTTGCTCTGTTCTTGGGCTTGTGTTCACAGGCAAGGTGGTCATGTGATCTGAGAAATGCATTGTTGGTAGCCATTTTGTCACTGTGTGAACAGGATGTTATTGACATCAGCTTAGAACACATAGTCTCCTGCACACCTGGCCAAATTGTGTATCGAGAGAGCAAGCAACTTCTAGACTGTAGTCCTGCACAAATGCTACCCCTGAATACTGCCGGCAACTAAAACTCAATGGCCGGCAAGATGCCATTATAGCATGGAAAGTTTTCAGTTCAGTTATGACCTTAACACTGGTGCGTGCTTAATAGTAACACCACTGCACAGTACATGTGACTCCATTTGCATATGTAATACATAAGTATAAACATGTCCTTAACATGCATATGACATGTCTAATTTAAATTGCAATAGGATACATGGAAAGGACATGGTGTGGTTTTCATATGGACATGGGAAAGGTGTTGAGGGAAGAGCCTCTAAAGCGAAGTTGTCTGACTTTCTTCAAAGGACACTGAAGATTCTGCCTCAGGATCAAGGAAAGGGACTAGGTACCAGATACAAAGAGGGGGAAGGTGGGCTCCATCTTGGATGGTCACCTGTGGGGTGGTATAGGGAGTGCATGGGTGAAGAAGGATGCATGTTAAAGGAGAGGATGAAATGGGCTCTAGGTATTGTCTTCAGGGCTTCAGACAATAAGACAACATTAAAACTGAGTTCCTTACTGTCAGGGAGGAATATACAAGATAGGGATTCTTGACCTAAGTGGGAGCCCAAAGTAGGAGTTTTGAGGGAGTCCTACTCCTTTTCTTGGTGGTTTTCAGTCTCTGCAAAGCTTCACAGAGGGTGGTAGTCAATGCTGTCCTTCATGACTTCAATCATGATGTTACTGCTCTCAGCTGTGGGAAGCAGAATGGATGTCTTTAGTCACATATGACTCCTATGTCCTTAAGAGGGCCTTGCCAGTGGCTAGTGTGATCCAGAGCACAAAGGTCAACACTCCTGATGAGTGCCACAAGGATACTGATTACATGATTCAATACTACTGTACTGTACATGTGAAATTTTACATAGTCACATGTTCATGAACACCAACTGTCATGTGTGTGGTATGCAGTACGTACTCAATAAATGTATGGTGCTGGTAACCTGGCTCTCTTCTTTTCTAGGTGCACCTGCGCCAAAGACAGAGAGCATTTATATTCTCATTGTGGTCTCTGTGGTTTTCCTTGTTTGTCTTCTCCTTCTTTCCATTTTCTGCCTTCATAGCCACTGTAAGAAAAAGCAGGGTAGGTATCTATGGTGAGAGTTGGCTTTGGTGGACTTTTGGTAGTGCTGGGAAAAAGACCTTCCTCCTAAGTGTGGACTGCTGACTATTCACAGGGCTCCCAAACAGCAAGAGCCAGCAGCAGAGATCACAGGAAAGGTGAGTCCCCTGGAATGGTGCCCATAAGCTTAGCTTGCCGAGTCCTTTGTCTCCAACCAGTGTCTAAAGTTCATCTATCCTTTCTTCTTAGCCTATCTACTAATGGTGTGGAGAGGACACCAGGTAAGGTGTGAGGAGCAAGTAAAGAGTTACCCACTCTACTGAGAAGCAACTGGGAAGGAAATCATCTAGGAACATTCTAGAGGGTTCTAGGGGTGGTGGTGGTATATCATGTGCTTATATTCTCTTCTAGTGTCCACAAAAGTAAAATTATCTGGTGTTTATTTTCTATAGACATAGTCACAGAGAACAGGCTCCCTGAAGACAGAAGGACAGAAACCAGGGTAGGTTTTTGTATGCATCATCATCTAGTGCTAACTAAAAAAATGTGCCCATATTTAGCATCTTAATAATATGGCTTCAGTTTCTTAGGTAGGGAACACAGTAGCAGAAGAATTAAAAAAATATTGACTGGGCTGGAGAGGTGGCTCAGCAATTAAGAGCACTGTCTGCTCTTTCAGAGGTCCTGAGTTCAATTCCCAGTTACCACATGGTGGCTCACAACCATCCATCCTGGGATCTGATACCCTCTTCTGGCATGCATTCATATATATAAAATAAATAAACCATTTAAAAATGTTGACTATAGCCACTGTCCTCTATAGGCCTAGTAAATAGAGAATTCTTGTCCAGAGTGACACATTCCAGTGGCTACAGGAAAGAGAGCTCTCCACAGCATATGGCTTTCCCCAGAGAAAGCATCTAAGACAAGAAAGGGGAGAGGCCACTTCTGTCATGTCTCTGGGTCATGTACTCCAACCCCAACGCCACTGGGCCAGAAACACAGTATAACTCATAAAGCAGGCAGCTTTCCAGTCCACAGCCCCTTCCTGCCCTTCAGCCACCCTAACTCTCCTGAGCTTCTCTCTTTCAGACGCCATTTGCCAAAGACCTTCAGGAAGTGACATATGCCCAGCTGGATCATCACTCCCTCTCACAGAGAACGGTTGGAGCTGTGACCCCACTGAGCAGAAATATCGTGGCTGAATCCCCTACATATGCAGACATCGCCAGACACTAAGCCTGTGTACACCTGGAGACACACAAGTCACTACTGGAGAAGTGTGAAACAGAAAGTCAAAAGCTCCCCTTGGGGTTATCCTGGTGTAGAATGCTGGCCACCCAGCCAGTTTGGGGGAAGACTATGTTGCCTCCAGAGCCCCAGCTACAATCACTCAGTCATTTTCAGGGACACAGTTACAGCCCCTTAGCTGTCTCTATAGGCCCTTTCCAGCCCATATTATTTAATGATCGTCACTGTAACAGTCTAGCAGCCTCTATATCCCCACTTGTGTAAAGAGCCCAGTGAACCCTAAAGGCTTCCTTGGATTCCCCTGCTGACTCTGACTGGGCTGTACTCATGGTCCCTTCTTTGTGTCAGGTCCCATGGGGTGCATCATGGGTATTTCCGAAGTGGATTCTCTATAGCCTGTGTGGATTTTGACACACAGCCTATGCGGACACTAACTCTGTATTCATTGCTGTTCAGAGATGAACAGAGAAATGAGGACTACAGAGGGTGCCTATGGTTCCTTTTTTTCTTTCAAATATATGCTTAATTGACCAAGATTGTGCATACTCAATTGTGATCCACCATGACCTGGTGTGCCTTTGTGTGTGTAGCCACCAACACAAATACTCAGCTCAGCTGTCACCTCCCACTGTCGGACCTGAGCATGTTGCCTGATGATTGATCTTAGGGTCAGTGTTTCTTAATGGAGTGTGTTGATCAGGGATGGAAGAGGAAGGAGGAGCCAAAGGGAAGGGGAGGATGAGAGTGGGCTGAGCTGCTCTACCTACACACACGTACACAGAAGGCCAAACAGGCAGATTCACACAGCCTTACACACCCCCATATACACGTGTCTGTGTACAGACGTGTACACAGGTGTATTCATGCACATGGAGCAACACACTGGTCACTGTGAGATGCTATTTGTCATTATCTCTGTCCCCCACACAGCATCAGGTTCAGTGGCTCCATACCCGAGCACACACTAATTAGACTCAGCTGTTAACAACAACAGTAATAATTTAAAAAGAAATCATAGCAGGGCATGAGGGCAACACACCTTTAATCCTGGAATTTAGGAGACAGGCAGGCTATCTTTGTGAGTTCTAGGACAGCCTGGTCTATATTGCATCTTTCAGGCCAGCCAGGGCCCCAAAGACAGACCCAGTCTCTCTCTCTCTCTCTCTCTCTCTCTCTCTCTCTCTCTCTCTCTCTCTCACACACACACACACACACACACATACACATAGCCCAACCCACCCTAAAAGACATGAAGTCAGGAGTGAGTCAAGTTCTATAATGGTAGGACCAAGGGACAGTTGGAGAGAGGTATTGGTGAGGTTCAAAACACGCTGCATTTATCACATCTGTAAACATGTAAAACATAAATTTAAAAATAGACAATACTTATTCAGACTTACAGATAGTGAAGCAGGAAGCACAGGGCTTCCATGGGACTGTTGAGGGCCTCTTTGTATATATTATGGTTTTCAGGTTAGTGTTTTCATGGGATTCCTGAGTGTGTGAACAAGTGGGTGTGTCATTCTGGTGTCCTCTCTTGGGTTTTTGTTTTTTTTTTTCCTGTCAATTTGCCTTGCTCAACTTTGATGTGCTGGATTTGTTTTATCTTATTATGAGAAAAGAAAAGTAGTCAGAGGACCACTAGGGGGTGAGAGTGGTCTCATTTTGATGGTTAGGATGGGAGCCTACTACAGAGGGTCCTCTGAAAGGCTCCACCCAACAGGTGATGGAAGCAAAGGCAGAGATTCACAGCCAAACCTTGGGCAGAGTGCAGGGAGTCTTATGGACAAAGTGGGAGCTAGAAGGACACGGAGGGGACAAGAGTCCCACAAGGAGACCAACAAAGCTAAAAAATCTGAGCCCAGAGGGTCCTTCAGAGACTGATGCACCAACCAAGTACCATGCATGGACAGGACATAGACCCCCCTGCTCAGATGTAACCAATAGGCAGCTCAGTATCCATGTGGGTTCCCATATAAGGGGAGCAGGGGCTGCCTGTGTCATGAACTCATTTGCCTGCTCTTTGATCACTTCCCCCTGGAGATGCTGTCTTGCCAGGCCACAGAGGAAGAGGATCCAGGCAGTCCTGATGAGACTTGATAATCTAGGGGCAGATGGCAAGGGAGGAGAACTTCCCCTTTCAGTGGATTAGAAGGAGATAAGGGGGAAAAGGGAGCGAGGGTGGAAAGAGTTGAGGAGGGGGCTGGAATTAGGATATACAATGAATAAACTGTAAAAAATAATAAATTAAAATTTAAAAAAATGTTCATGGCTGAGAAAACAACAACAACAAAAACACAACAAGCCAACTCCTCTAAACTTGATTTCCAGTGTGCGTGTGTTACAACAACCACGCCTCCCCCGGAAAGAATCCAATCACAATTCCTCATGAAGTAAAATTGCATGGTATCTGGATTTAGAGAGGCAGACCTGTTACATATACACATAAAAACATCATAACCAGAGCTGGAGAGATAGCTCAGTGGGTAAGACCACTGGCTGTTCTTTTAGAGGATCTAGGTTAGATTCTCAGCACATGGTGGCTCACCACGATCTCTAACTCCAGTTCCAGGAGATCTGACACCAATTTTTGATCTATGGAAGCACATAGCACTCACATGGTGCACAGACATACATGCAGCATAAATACACATAAAACAAAATGAATAAATCTAATACAATATTATAAATAAATATCACAATTTTCTGTGCTTCATAAATGATATATATCAATAAAAGAAAAAGAAACTTGCATGCTAGTCATGTATGTGAAGAAACACTATTTTAAAATACAACAAAGTGTCAGATATGATGGTGCATGTCTTTAATCCTAGAACTTGGAAAGCAGAAACAGGTGGATCTCTGGGAGTTTGAGGCTGCCTGGTGTACCTAATGAGGTCCAGGAGGTCCAGGACAGGCAGGGTTACATAGAGAGAGCCTTCTCAAGATGAATGCGTGAATGGACAAATGAATGATTATCTTAGTAAGAGTCAATACGTTATGCCATACTCTTTTGTGTTGTTCTCTATTCTGCGAGGCTCTTTACCCTACTTGTGGGAACACAAGGGATCATGGTATAAGTAGGTCACTAAAGAAGGCAGGGCTGAGGGTCCCCAGATGCAGGATGTCTGGCTTTCCTGAGCCTGTCAGGCTGTGCTTCTTTTGCTGGGAGTTCAGTCTCAGAGGTAGGTGCCAAGATCCAAAGAGTTTTATGTGTGCCAAGTACTACTAATTTTTTTGCCTTCGTGATTAATTTCTCTGAGTATCTGCTTTTCTTATTTGTTTTATTTTATTGTTTTTTCCAAGATGTAGTTTCTCTATGTGGAGCCCTGGCCGGCCTTGAACTCACAAAGATTTGCTTGCTTCTGCCTCCTGAGTGCTGGGAATAAAGGTGTGTTGTATCACCACACCAGGAAAAAAATCTTTGTGTTTTTGTTTTATTTTTGTTTTTTGCTTTTCAAGACTGGATTTCTTTTGTGTAGCTCTGGCTGTCCTGGAACTCACTCTATAGACTGGGCTGGCCTCTAACCTCCCACTGGTGTTCCTGCCCACACCATCTTCTACCCAGTTTCCTCCTTTCATCCACTTCCACTGTCTATTCTAATTTCCCCTTCTAAGTGAGAGTCAAGCAACCTTCGTTGGTCCTTCCTTGTTACTTAGCTTTTCTAAAGCAAAGGGCACTGTCAACAGAACAAAATGATAGCCTACAGACTGGGAAAAGATCTTCACTAGCCCTACATCTGACAGAGGGCTAATATCCAAAATATATAAATAACTCAAGAAACTAAACACCAACAAACAAAATAACACAATTAAAAATGGGCTGCAGAGCTAAATAGAGCACTCTCAATGGAGGAATATTGAATGGCAGAGAAACACTTAAGGAAATGCTCAGTGTCCTTAGTCATCAGGGAAATGCAAATCAAAATGACTCTTTGATTCTATTTTACACCTGTCAGAATGGCTAAGATCAAAGACTCAAATGACACCACATGCTGGTGAGGATGTGGAGGAGGGGAAACACTCCCCCGTTGCTGGCGGGAGTGCAAACTTGTACAACCACTTTAAGAAATCAATCTGGTGCTTTCTCAGAAAATTGGGGAAAATGCTACCTCAAGATCCACTCCCGGGCATATACCTGAAAGATGCTCTAGCATCTGAAATGTCCCATCTGAATGATGTCTACAACAGGGACGTTTGCTCAACCATGTTCATAGCAGCTTTATTCATAATAGCCAGAATCTGGAAACAACTTAGATGTCCATCAACTGAAGAATGGATACAGAAATTGTGGCATGTTTACACAGTGGAATACTACTCAGTTATTTAAAACAAGGAAATGAAATTTTCAGACAAACGGGTGGAACTAGAAAAGATCATCCTGAGTGAGGTCAGAACCTCAGAAAGACACACATAACATTCTAAGTGAATGTTAGCCACATAATACAGAAAAACCATTCCACAATCCACAGACCTAAAGAAGCTAAATAACAAGGAGGACCCTAGGGAGGATTCTTAATTCTCATTCAGAAGGGCAAATAGAATAGACACTGAAAGCAGTTGAAGACAGGGTACAGGACAGGAGCCTACCGGTAGATGTTCTTTGAAAGACTCCACCCACTGAAACAGACGCTGAGACTTACAGCCAAACTTTGGGCAGAGTGCAGGTCATATGGAAGAGTAGGGGGATAAAAGGACCTGGAGGGGACAGGAGCTCCATAACGAGACCAAGAGAGCCAAAAAATCTGGGCCTAGGGGTGCTACTGATGCACCAAGTAAGAGCCATGCATGGAGAGGTCCTAGACCCCTACTCAGATGTATCCCATAGACCCCTCAATCTCCGTGTAGGTCACCTAGTAAGGGGAGCAGGAGCTGTCCTGACATAGACTCTGTTGTCTGCTCCTTGATCACTTTCCCCTAGAGGGGTGGCCTTGTTATTCCATAGATGAAGAGGATGTAGGCAGTCCTGATAAGACTTGATAGGCTGGGGCAGACAGAAGAGGAGGAAGGATCCTCCTTTCTGAGGACTAGAGGAGGGGGAAGGAGAAAGGGAAAGGGGAGAAAAGGAGGATAGTCTTTGAGGTTTCAGAAGCTTAAGCCAGTCTTAGTGGCTTACATTTTCTTCCTGCTTTCTACAGATACATATGCAGAACTCTAAGATATGTCTTCTTGCATGCCTCTATGCTTCTTACCGTGATTATAATGGACTATTCCTTTCAAACTGTAAGCCAGCCCCAGTTGAATGTTTTCCTTTATAAAAGTTGTCATGGTCATAGTGTCTCTTAATAACAACAGAATCTCTAACTGAGACAGAGATTGGTTTCAGGGACTTGGGTATTTCCATGACCATGTTTCTGGTTGAAGGAATGTTGATATTGGGAATTTGAGACTTTGTGTTATGAAAGAAGTAAAATGCTTTAAGTCCAGCTTAGTAAAACATACTAGAAAGAGGATGGAAGAAAATGGTTCTGGGGGTGATTTAAACTATGGAGGTCTAGCTCAAGAGGTTTTAGAGGAGAAGAATTTTTGTATGCT